GTAGTGTGTGGTGTGTGTGTGTGTGTGTGTGTGTGTGTGTGTGTGTGTGTGTGTGTGTGTGTGTGTGTGTGTTTACGCGCGTGTGTATATGTGTGTATGTATGTATATGGTTGTATGTACAGTTTAGAAATTTAGAAATTTGAATGGTGCAAAACTCTTTTTGAAGTGTGTATTTTCGTCAAATGTTTCTTTAAGTTGCAAAGTTGACGCTCTATTTTTTTATAGACTGCAGCCAGAACAAACCGTTGGAATACAACTGTAGAAATTAGAAAATTTTAAAGTTTTAATATATCAAAAATACAGAGGATAAAAATTATTTTATTAAAGAAAGATACAGAACTCTATACAATATGTACTGGAGAAAAGTGTTGTGAATTTCTTGTTAGATTCTCATATAACGGATGTAATTCCATTGGTTAGTTCAGTTGGTCTTACAAGTAGATACATTCGATTTTCTCCCACTTTCTCTTTCCTAAAATATTTTATCTATATAAGATAGCAGATATTTTTATAATCAAATCGACTGTATATTATGTACATGCGTTTATAGTACAGAACTTAGCTACAATCTCACAATGTTCAAAATATTTCAAATTTATTTGGAATGACGGAATTTAAAATTTTTCTTAAACATTAGTACATCGAAAAACACGTGATTGCAAGACACATGATTGCATTTTCAATGCGAGCTGATTCAACTTGCATGAGAAGCTGTAATCGTATAAATGGACATTGTATTTTCGCAACGATCGAATTCTATGCGTCTTTATTCGCCTTACTTCTTCTTTCCGGCCATCTTTAATCGAAATTCGAGACGACAAAATTAAAACGTTTATTTATATAATAATAAGAAGTTGAAAGAATAAGAAAGAATAAAAATTGCGACAGAAAGAAGCAAATAAAAAATATATCAACATATATTTATTTTCTTGCATTTTGCACTTTCTATTTGCTTCGAAAAAATATGAAAGAAAGTTTTTCAAAATTATGGGAAAACTTTAATAGTTATTAAAATATAAAATTTTACTAAAAAAAATTGTTTTATATAAACAAATGTTACATTTTTTAATATTAAATATTTTGAGAAATTTTTACGCATTTGTTATAAAGTAACAATATAAATTTAAATAAAATATAAAATTGAATGTTGAAATTTTTTATTCTTACAAGTTTGTTTTGTCCACGCTTGGAAGGCCTTTAATGAATGTCTCGAAGAAGTAATTAAAAAACTAAATAACAAAAAAGACGGCTAGAAAAAAGTGTAAGACAAAAACCTCGATTAATAAATGTACCAATTTTGTGTATGTGGCTTTATTCTTGAAAAATATCTATTCGCATATATATATCTTTAAAAATATCTTTCTTTGAATTTAAAAATATCTTTTCTTGGCGAAGGAACATTTATCGATGACCCACGAGAATGCGAGAGAGTCCATCGCGTTTTGAGCGCCGGAAAGAGCTTCGGAAGAGCTTCGGCGACTCTGTCTCGCCTTGATGCGATTCTATATGAAAATAATACAAATTCGTGCGTTAGATTTTATGGAAGTCGTTTATCAAACGACAAAAAAAAGAAAACTCGTCGGAGCCTTGTGTAGAGTTTTAGATGATTGGTCGAAATTTGCGTCGCGCGAGATGAGCCGAATTAAAAAGATAACGAATTAAAAAAACAACGCCTAGTAATTTCATTCTGATAATATTTACATAATTATATATATCTTACATAATTTATATATATCTTGTTTTTGGAACATATAAATAATACGAGAGAATCATTTCCGTAGAATTATTATAATATGATATTTTGAAATGCAATAATCATATTATTTGGCAAATTTACAGATTATGCGAGAAACTTATAGCTGGCCAGCGCGCGTCGCGAATCGCTTATGCACTCTTTTTAAGAATTAAATCACGCACCGATTCAATCGATATCATCAACGGCAATCATGTTCTCATTGCATCGGAACAAATCTGACGCATTTGTGTGTATGTGGAACGTGTGTATCTAAACGAAGTATATACCTCGAAGTATATACATATAAATAT